TTTTCCTGCTTTGGTTTCACCAGTTGTAGTTGTGGCCTCGACAAAGAAGTCTATGGATCTCTCTCCATATTATATTTTATTATATTATAATATGCTGTGATTGTTGCATAAATTTTTGGGGCCTTTGGAACTGCATGTTAGTCTTTTTGAAATGACCTAGCAGTTAATTTTCCAGTCTTCCAATTTCAGATGTTCTTGTCACCAGTCTATCAACAGGAAAGCATTGAATGCATTGGGTTTTTTTCACTTTATTTCTTTTAAAGTATAAAATACGCACTGGTATCTTGTTAATATTTAACTTGTTCTGGATTGTTTTGCGGCTTCTAACTGATGGCCACGAGGAACATGGGAGTTAGCATTACATCACAGGAAGGTCTGTGTGCAGGGGTACTAGCAGGAATGCTGATTTGTTCTAAATAATTTGTGTAAGGTTGACAGAGCTTTTGCTTTTCCTGACTTGGCATTGTAAAATAATAATCACTTGAAATGAGAAGTCTGGTGAAATTGCCAAGCGGTTTCTTGGTGTTTGAAACACAAATACTGTTTTATTAGAAACTTGAATAAAGCAACTAAGAGGAGGGAAGTAAAACTTCAAACTTTTTACCTTCCTGATGACAAGAAGGGTAGTAAACTAGAAAAAAGTACAGATGATGCAGGATCTTCATATTTTCTGAAATACTTGTGTTTGTGTACTTGTGTGCATGTATTTTTACATAAATTTAATGTCCTTTTTAGTTGTAAAGTAGAGGTCTTTCTGGCTGCATGCTTTCCTTCATTTATCGTGGAACAAGAACCAGAATAGTTTAGAAATAAATTTTGAGTCAGTTGTTATGAATTCTTTACCACTCTAGGATATCTAATTTAAATAGATAATACCTAGATTTAAAGATCCGGTTTCTGTTCCCATCTTCTGTATGGAAAGAACTGGGAGATATTTAGGATGCAACAAAAGGGGTATGTTGGAGTATTCCAGAGTGTCAGTTTATGCATAGAAAAATATTTATATGCCCTTTTGAGAATATGGTCCTGACTAGATGTAAAAATTGAATGTTGTGCAGCATTTTACAGTAAGTTCTGTAAGATGATGATATTCTGGTGCAGTATCGGTGGCTAATTGACAGAAACCTCGAAATGACTGGTCAGGTACAGCAGAGTTATATAAATACGAACTGTGTGCTTCTCTTCTCACTTTTCTTTGCAAACTGGAGTTGTCTGTTACCTGATATGTAGAGTTTTACTATGAGCCAATACTAAAAAAAAAAAAAAAAAAAAGAAAACTACCTGCTATGGTACTTAAAGATGAAATTCTGAGAAATGTGAGGAAACAACTAGGAACCTGAGCACCTATCTTCAAATGGTGTTTATAAGCAAAGTTTTATTTGATGGGTAGGACCATAGCAATCAACACTAGTTGCAGCCTGTTGGCAGGTTCACCCACCCCTTTTTCAAATATGAAAATGTGGTTAACTTTTCTCTGTTGTTCATGTGACTGTATTCTGCTGCTTTCCTTTACAGATCCGAGAGCAAAATTTACAAGATATTAAAACCGCAGGCCCTCAATCACAGGTTCTTTCTGGGGTAGTTGTGGACAGGAGTCTTGTACAGGTGAGAGTATAAAATGCCTACAACTATTAGCTTAAAGTTAATCTACGATATCCTCTGCTTTCACCTAATATATCACTATAAAATTATTCTTTAATTGGCAGAGAGTAACTGTTTATAAGGTAAGTCTTAGAGGTAACACTATTGTCTTTGCGAGAGTGCTCAGGGTCAGAAATTTAAGAGGCTTCAGCCATGTAGCCCAAGCATGTCTGTGGAGGATGCTTCTTGGTTTTTTTGCTGAATGTAATGCATGAAATTCAGAAGGCTTATTTATATGGGTTAGATACTTGTTCAAAACTCGTTGGGCTTTGTGACACTTTTTCTTTGTTTGTTTTCCAAGTTTATGTATCTTGAAGTATTAATACTGGGCACAGCAGGCTCACTGTGGGGCAGTAGTGTTGTGTGTTAGATATGTTTTATCATGCTTCATAATATTTTATTTGAAGAGCAGTTTGGGAAAAAAAAGCTATTATACATCAGTAAAACTTCAAAGCAGTATATCTGGATATACAAAAGGCTTTATCTATGAATCATAGCTCCAAAGTAAAGTTAAGAATTAGAGCTATACAGGTATACTGTATAGCTGAATGACATTAAAGTTCTGTATATCTGAGTGCTTTAACTGGCCCAGATAAGTATTTTCTGATATACTTTAAAAAGTTTGGCAAGCCTTATCATGACCATAGCATTATTCATGTTGGGTGTCATATTGTGTGCATGTCAATTCATTGTCATTTGCAATTTTATCTACCAGTTACTGTTTCTTTGCATGTTTTTAGCAAGCATCATAATGCTTTTCGTTGATGTTTTAAAGCCTGGGCTCGGTTTGCTCTGTTTACTCAATTTACTGTTGCAGGATGCTCCCCTCTCAGACTGTACGGAATCTATTGAAGGGCTCGATCTCACAGAGCAGGCCTTTAGTCCCGCTAAATCTCTGTCTGTTAGAAAGGTACTGCCCTGTCATACTGCTCTAAATACTGTTATTCACCCTTCATTTTACCTCTTCCTTACCCTGACCTTTTCCCTCTGTTAGCTAATGATTTGGCTAGGAAAAAAAAAAAAAAAAAAGATGGATCTCCAAATTATGTATATGCAACTATACAAGCAGTTACCTTACCCTGTTAAAGTATCTTTTAAGGATTTTGATCTTTTTCTTTGTCTGTAGAAGCTGGTGAGGAAACACTTTCGATGTTAAGGTGCTGATTAGGTTCTGCATATAGTGGGTTTCTTTGTGCATGCTGTTAGTGTAGGATTGCTCTAATTTGAGATCCATTTTGAGTTAGCTTAATCTCAACCTGATTACATCAGTGTAATTCTGAAAATATCCACATGTTCAGAGTGTGTCATGCTGACAAACACTGTCAACTTTTGGTTGTACATTGCTAGACGTCTTGTTTCCTTAAAACTTCTTGTGGTTATCTACAAGAGTTGCTGAGTAATGCCCCACATTTCCAAAATCAATTGGCTTTCAAACATGTAATTGTGCTTATGTAATATACTTCAAATCGGAATAAATTCAAGAGGTGTGTGTGTGGTTGGGGTGGGACAGTCCTTTGAGGCTGAGTAAACAGGAACAGTTTGCACATTGGAAACAATCTGTCCATAGCTGTCTTTCCAGGTTTTGAAGGAGTTTCTTAGTGGTGATCTAACATGGTAGCACAGTGTGTAAATAAGCATCAGTGTCTCTTCTGCTCCAGTATTTTATCTAAAAGATTCTTAAATCTTGGTTTAAGTCATGCCTAACAATCTCATTATCAGAATAACTTCCCCATCAAAAACCAGAATACTTTGAATTACGTCATTGTTGTAAATCTCATGACTTTATAATGCTTTCTAGTGTAATGAGCCAGTTTGTGTTATAGATGGTTGTATCATACTGAGAATTTGATAAAGATGCTTTTCAGATTACAGTTTGTTTTATCCATATTCTGAAAGGAAAAATAATAAAGCACTATTTCCATATTTAAGATGAAAAATAAAACAAAGCCAAATTCTTCCAGGTAGTGCATGTCTTTTATTCTCTGCTTAATAATACCTTCAAAGTGAAAAATTGTTTTTATGATAGTCATCCATTGGTTATCACAACAAAGGCAGCTTCTTTCATCAGTGATGTGCAAGATGTCTTTCAAGTATTATTTTTGGATAATGGCATCATCTTTCTGTAAGACTAGTCAAATATTTTACCTGCATTTTTGTAGATGGCAAGGAGCCAACAACAGGTCTGTTGGTATATGGTTTTGCCTAGTAGTGTCATGTTAGGATTTAGATGTCCAAATGATGTGTTTCCTTTTTGTGGTGTCATGGAAGTGCTTTCCTCTGGAAATACTGTGTAAAATTACATCACAGTGTTAATTACAGTAGGAGTGGCCTATTTCATAATCTTTATCATCTTAATATGGGTTGTGACCTGAATGCTTAATAATTTCCTGTTGGGGGGGTGGTGGTGGGGAACCAACAACCCACCCCCAAAAAAACCAACCAAACAAAAAAAAATAATGCAAAAATCCCCAACGAACCCAACAACAACAACAAAAGAAACCACCACAGAAATTTCATAGAAAGATTATGTCAAAAATCAGTCATGTGTTGTGGAACAGAGGAAGTACAAGAAATCTTAAGGATGCTCACATAAATGTCACATGAAACTTTGAGGAGACCTGTAGATCAAGGGGTTAAGGACTTTTAGGTACTAGATACTTACAAGTTATCAGTTGACAAATTCTTCAACACTCAATTACAGTTAAAGTAAAAAGTTCCATCTGATTGCAGTAATGCTTAAAATGTATTATGTTTTCAGTTAACATTGACATTTATATCAAATACTAATGCACGCTATTTTGGATGAAAAAAATCCTGTTTGTGTACAGTATGCATGTAATGCTTTGAGTCTTCTGTGCCAATGGCTGCAGTAGTAAATACTCCATTTTGCCTTGTCATTTGCTTTGTCCATTTTCTGAGAAGTCCTGGCCGTGTCGCAACACAAGCTCCTTGTGCATCATGTAATTTTATTCATGTTGCAGACTTAGTTAACCAAGCTTCTGCTGCAGTCTTGGCTGAATGAGAGGGAATGTTGGTTACTCTTACCAATCACCATTCTGCAATTGGATTTAAAAAGAAGTAAATTCACATGAATTTTCAAGCATTTTAAGTAAAAGGGGAATCACCCATTTCGTGTTTCTTCCTTTAGAATGGAAATTCTCTGGCTTTGTTCTTCATGAAAAACCTCTCAGTTCTGCCCGAGACGTGGCACTGTGTTTTAATGGCGACTTCTACATGAACAGTACTTTAAGAATCTTGGTTTTTTGGATAAAGGCACTGCATTAATACCAGGTTGTGTTAAGAGCGATTGTTAACTTCAGACAATTATTATGAACCTACTGTCTGATAGAGAGAAAAATTGGCATGTATGAGGGTCCAGTTTTGCTCATATCTATCCCTGAGAACAAGATGAAGTGCTTGCCTGTTAAATGATGGTCACCTCATAGCAATTTTGAATTTTTCTCTGAAAGCAAGATTTGGTGGAGAAGTTGCAGATTGACTGGATAATCTAAAATTTCCTTGTAGGATACGTGAAGTCCAAGTGTAGTATGAAGGTATATTGTGTATATTTAGCTATAAATGCCTTTCCCTTTGTTGGGTCTTTTGGGGAGAGTATGGCCCTACAAAATTCTCAGGAGTGAAAATATATTCTGTTCATGAGTGTGATCTATCCATTATTTCTTACAGTGGAGAAAATGCTGTTGATATTCAGGTGCTTACACATGCAATCACACTTCCAATAGTCATCAAAATAGTAGCAAAATTGTCATCAAAATAATGCTAGTACTAGAATAATCCAGATGAAATCACCAGAACTTTTGGTTTTTACATGTCATCCTGCATTGAAACAGAGTGCCAGTCCTTTATATAGGAATTTATTCCCTCTCTACAGGCTCTCTAATACTGGAAGCAACTCCAGACCAATTTTCTTGTTCAGTTTTTCTGAACGTTCATAGGAATCTCCGAACGGCATGGACAGGTTGATAGCTCTGCAAAGTCTTGTGTATTTTAGTGTCACATTTAACAATCCAAAATATGCCTTGTACTGTCTTTTTAGTCCTTTATTCTCGTTTCCTTTCTGTCCCGTGTTACTCTCTTCATTTGGTGTTGTATATTTTTATTTGAATTCTTGGAAAGCTGCTGTGTGGCCTATTCTGTGAAGCAATGCATCTCTACTTCTTTGATTTGTTCATGTTTTAGAGTAATCATGTTGCAGAACTTACTAGCATACTACTATAATTTATTTTCCCCATAGAATCAGTCCCTCTACCCTTATAATTTTCACTAGTGGCCTTTGAACTGCTTCCATATTATTGATACTGAGCAAAACTGGATGTGTTAATCTGGAAACAGCTTTTAGCAGATCAAAAGTTTGCCTTTCTGGTCTCTTGTGTAATCTTTCTGCTTTTACAGTCCAAAAAAGTGGTTTTTCTTTGTAATACATAATCCGCTTACTGTCATTGCCTCTGATCTTTTTCAATATTTCTCTTAGGTCAGAGATACTCAGACAGTACAAATACTGTTTGCATTGATGGTGGGTTTGGGTTTTGTGTGTGTTTGGTTTTGCTTTGTTGGTTTTTTAATTCAGTAAATGTGATAAGCTTGATGCGGTGCTTTTATTCCCAGTAGTTAACAAAGGTGCTCTCTTAAGGAGGAGAACACATAATGCCAATGCAGTAGTCATCTTGCTGCAAACTGCGTGTCTTGCTGTTTGTCATTATTAAATCAATAGGCATTCAGTAAAATGTTATTTCATGCGAAAGTTATTCTACCCAGTCATTTTTGGATTTAACTTGCAGACAAGATTCAAAGCTTCTTAAACATTCCAGGAAGGAATACCAGTGTGCGCTGTATGTCTTGTTCCTCTATTGACTTTTGTAATCCTAGAAAACTCTAGAAACTCTGCCTGAAATCAGTGCTTTACAAGCCCCTGCTACTTATTGCTGAGTTTCACTTAAAACTACATATTTAGTTTGAAGGTTGGATAGAGATAGAAAGGGAAATATAAAACTGCCATGGGCACCAATTTTCTGCCATCATTAAAAGCTGTAACCTGTAGTTTTGGGGGCGTTTCACATTTTCTACAAAACAATTAGGATTTGGACAAAGGTTGATGTTTTTGTGACTTTCTTATGCATTATCCTGTAAGAAAAGCCGTGACTATCAAATCGGAGGTTTTCTGGTATTGATGGAAATAGTTGAGAAAAGGCTTTTGACATTCAACTCACATTCTGCATCTGAGATGAGAGTTCCTCTTATTTTATGGAGAAATGGAGGTGAGCTATAATGTTTTAGAGACGTTTCTCTCCTGCAGTTCCTTTCAGGATCTTACAGTGGAGACTTGTTGTTATGCTGTTTGTTTTTCAGTACTTCTGGCTGGTGTTTGCTTCCTGAAGAGCAGCATAGATTCTAACAATCAGCTGTTCTTGCCTCCCCGGCTTGCTCTAGACCAGATTTCTGGAGATCTCTCATGAGGCTTTCAGAAATATATAACTGCTCTTGTCCTCATTCGATCTGGACATTCTTGTCTGTCACCTTTTTGGTGCTGACAACTTGTCCAAAGCAGGTCTTAGCATCCAAAACAGTACTCTGTCTAATTTAATCTTCAGTTTTACAGTGATGATCTCATGCTTGTCCATCAAGCATGGACATGGAATGGAATGTTTGTCTGTTTGTTTGGTGCTGTTTATTTTTGAACTGTGCTTTCTAATGCTTTCTTTTAAATATTGGTATAAATAACATTTGAATATGAAGATGACTTGGACCAATCAATAACCTGTACTTATTTGGTACTGGAATTCAGATACCTCTTTTCACCAGTGAAGGCAGTTCAGGTATCACAATGACACAAGGCACAGACCACACATCAGTCATTTCCAGACTAGTGTGAGTAGAGTTCTGTATATCTAGTGAAAAAAAATGCTTAAACAAGGCACTTGAACGATACAGCAGCTATCCAGGCAAGCATCTTCCGTATCTGAGACAATGAAAAGCCAATGGCTTTAGTCTTTACTGTATGATTAGAGAAGAAAAACTAAAAACCTTAGTATTAGAGAATCTCTGATGCAGCTGCTTTTGTCCATTGGAACTTACTGTACTTAGAATTGCTAATGTTTTATTTTTATTTGTATAACTTTTTATCTGGCTTGTATGACATGTTATAGATGCAAATATGCTAACATGTATAAGATTACAGTTAACCTTAATTAGTTAAAAGTTACTTGTAATAAACTGTTAATCTGGTGTATACAGAATGCATAGAAGATGGCTTTTTACTATAACATCTGTTAGATGTTATGTAGTAGCTACTAGAAATGGCTTTTCCCGTATTAAAAACAACAAAACAAAACAATGAAACCAAAAGAACCCAAAACAAACCTCAAACAAAAATACCTCTGAGCTGAGTCCTGTGAAGTTCTGCAGGTATTCTGTGCCCAGACTGCCCTGCAGTTGGGCCTGGTATGCTGTTTCTTTTGTGAGGAGAAAAAGAAACGGGATACTTCTGTGACTTCAGATGTAGTTCAGCTAGACTGTTTGGCTGCTATTTGATTTACTGCTTAATGGTGGATATTCCCTGGTGGAAACACTGATGTGTCTGTAAGGGTGATTAATGAGACCTGTTTTCTCCTTTATATTAACCTGTTGTTGATTTAAAAAAAAAAAAAATTCTGTCATAGATTTCTTTCTTTTTTTTAAATCTAAAAGAAAATAAATGCAGCATTTTTCATATTATCTTTTTGTTTTGTTTTTGGTTGCTTTGTAGCCTCTGTACTTCTCAGGGTTCTGCAAGTTACTGCACGATTGCAGATGTATCTTAATTTTCTTTTGTCAGGGAGAACTGGTGACTGCGTCCAAGGCAATAATTGAGAAAGAGTATCAACCAAAAGTCATAGTGAGCACAACAGGACCAAATCCCTTCAATAAACTCACTGATCGAGAACTGGAAGAATATCGCAAAGAAGTAGAAAGAAAGCAGAAAGGACCAGAAGGTTGGTTTCTCTGTGTGTGTTTTTTCTGCAATAGACTGTAACAGCAAGCTTATTATTAATTGGAAGGTGGGTTACCTGCAAAGGCCATGGATAAATTACTCAGCTTTTGTGTGTTTTAGTTTTTCCAGTGTGAATTAGAAATTTAAAAAGCATATTGGAGATAGAATGTGCGATCTAAGTGTTAATGGAGTAGTCTGTAAAATGCATAGATCTTATTTTTAAAATTATCCTTGTAGACAAACTGGGGTGTTTAGTTTGGCCAGTTACTGCTGCTGTTAGGAAGTTGAAAGCTCGAAACTTCAGTCAAAAAAATTTTGGGTCCTGCAAAGTATTGCAGATTGTTCTGCTTTGTTTCCCTTAGTGCTAGAGATAGTCTAGGGTGAGAGAATGGTGGTGTTGCTTTTCAGCAGCAAAACTGCAGTTTTCTAACACATTGAAAACTGTGTATTTGAGAAATCTGTTGAATGGGGAAGATACAGAACAACATTGATTGCTGCTTGGCAATGGCACATCTTGGGGACTTCCCCCAAAACAGACCTTCTAAGTTACCATAGAATTATGAGAGAATTGTGCTGTAAAAAGAGATCATTGCTGAATCTGAAGTGGTTATCCTACTTTACTTCTGTATAGTTTTAAGGGATGATACTTGTGATGCTCATCTGTTGTTAGGTTTTGAACCTTGAGTGATGCAGGAACCAGAAGTGCCATTTCTTTTGCAGTGTGTGCTCCCTGCTTCTGCTTTTTAATAAGACAGTATAGGAGCCATTGTAGATTGTATGTGTTCGGTCCATCAAGTATTGGACTGTGCGGGGTGGGATACTCTGCTGTTAGGCCTGTATAACTGCATACATTTATTCTCTCAGTAACATTGCTACATCCTTCTTAGATAAGATATCAAAATATGGAGAGACTGTGTTACTGAGACAGACACCAGCTGGGGAACAGAGTACATTGCTTAGAAATCAGACCATCAGTGAGCAAAATACATCAGATAAAAAAAATATATCTCTGGATTTGAAAGGCAGATCAAAAACCTTTCAAGGAACAGATACAAAGACTTTACAGGATCGTTGACGTATCATCACTGTCTAAATCTTTAGATAACACTCAGTTTGCTGCTGCATGGGTTTCTTGTCAGACCACGCAGCAAGTCATCACACATCTTAACCGAGAAGAGCCAGATGGGCAGAAGTCCTCCCATAAGGAATTTCATACTGCAGTGATCAAAGCATTAAGGTCTGATCCTGACCTTTTGGCTGAGGCCTCAGGTATTACTAATATGGTACAGCTGTGCTTGCAATCTAAGGAGCAACCTCTTTATCTACACCATTTGGAGATTCTGTCAGTTGACTCTCATCTGTGGGACTGATTTCACTTGTAATTGTATAGGTGAACTGTATGGAACAATGTTTTAATATTGTTCCTGATACATGGTGTACTCTAACAGTTTGCCTTTGGATCTAGGGCTGTTTAAACCTCGAAGCAAGGGGGACCCTCCTTACTAATAACAAATACACCAAGCACTGTGAAATCTGTTTTGAATCATTTAATTACTGCATGTTTCCCTGATTATCTGTGCAGTCTTCTTTTCTTTTGGGATGCAATTTTGTTTACTCCGAGTTTCAGCAATACAAAGCAAGCAAAAGAGCATTATCTTGTGTAGGTCTGAGAGCATTCCCTGCCCCCCCCCCGCCCCCGTTTGTTTCTATCTTCCTTGTGGTTTTTCCTCAAGTTTTCTTTAGAACAGCATGATAAACCAATTCATAAACAATTACATTATTCATGCCCTCCTATGAAAAAAACCCAAACAACAAAACACCACAGAGCACAACTGTGACTCGAACAGTTTTTTAATATCAAACGATCACTTAATTTTCTTTTGCTTGTTTTGGTATTATTTAATATCCTGGCAGAATTTTGATTCAGAAAAATGTATTCATATCTTGTGTGCTTGGAGCAACAGGACACACTTGTTTTCTCACACACTGAAAGGTTTTGTCTGCCTTTTTAATTTCTCTTTGTCTGCAGAACCTTCAGAAGACGGCAGGCAACAGAAAGAGAGAAGCCCCCCTGATCACACTTCAGCTCGCACTCCTCCCAGTACGCCGATTAAAATAGAGGAAGGTATGTTCTTCTGATTTGGGGGCCAGGGGAAACCAGTAACTGCATCATTAGTGACTGACGCATGAAAATGTATGAACTAGTATCTAATAAAGGTAAATTATTTCTTGTATTTATTTTTATACTACCTAAAATATACTACACTGAACTGTGAGTGTAATAGGACTTATGTTTACAATAATAAAGAAGTGTGCATTAATATAAAGACAAATTTTCATCTTTTCAGTACTGCCTTGTCATCTCTTGGTGTTTCTCAACTGATTTACCCTTTTGTACCTTTTCTGCGAGAAAGAATTGCTCTTACGAAATGTAATAGTGTCTGATGGTGAACCAGAGACCAATTTAGTTGCTTTGGTAAATCTCCTTCACTGATTGCACATTTCTTAAACATTATTGTACTTGGATTACACCTCAGTAAATATTATTTCCAACTCAATTTGAATCTAACTATCATTATTTGCTCACCTTATGGAGTAGTTTTAACTAAAAATGAGAGCAGGGCTAGTAAAGTCTACAATTTCCTCAAAAAAGGATAAAATAACAATCTTGAACAGGTGTAATCTAATTTTTGTCTTGTTTCCTTTACCTTGTACATTGGATATATCACTTGTCTGTTAGTCTTCCATTCACTACTTCATCTCATTCTGTTTTCTATAAGAATGGTTGCAACCATTCTTCTGACTTAACACAATGGCTGTGATGAATGCATAGATTCTCTACTTGTGCTTTTTTCTTCTTGTGGCTGCGTTACAAACAGGAGATGGATATGCTAAAGAGTACCTGTTACCATAGTAAGTATCATTCCATACTCTGACCTGCTTACGTGCTTTGCTTCACTCTTGCATCTTTGTTTACTAAGGGCTTTTTGTTGCTTTTGTTTTTTGTTTCTTTTTTAAAAAGCAGGCTTTTTCAGTTGAGACGCTGATTTCTTTAGTTGTTGATCTCATGAAATTCTAGGTAGTTACAGATCTTATGTTAAAATGCACTTCCCCTTTGAAAGAGACTGTGAAAGTGACATTATGTGTTCCCATATCTGTGTGTCCGATTCCTCAGTTTAAAAAGGAATAGTCTGAAGTTGTCTTTCAGATACAGCTGAAAAAGGTCTGGGAGTTTCTGCCCCAACAGTTTGCTGCTGCCTACACAGCTTGGACCTGGTGATGAAATGAAAGAAAGTTCCTAATCTATTCCAGTGCAAAAGTGTTACCACTGACATTGATTTAAACTTAGCCAGCAGACTTCTGCACAGAAGTGGATATGGAACTACTCCTATGTTATATATGTCAGCTGTAGGGAAATGCAAATTTCGGCCAAGGAATAGCAGCAAGTACTTGGTGGCAGCAACTTCTACGGCTGTTTCACCTAGATCTGCAAGCCTACCTCAGATTATACTTTAAAGTAATAAGGATGTTTGGCCCCCTCCATTTGTATGTCCTGTTATATCCGAAAGTCAGTGTGTTTGTCATAGACGTGAAAGTCAAACTACATCGTAGACACCTGTGACATTACTAGTAAATTCTAAAACCTGAAAATTCTTTTAAACTGAGAATTGTGTTCCACAAAATCTTCTAGTTGTATAAATTTTCCAGGATAAACTTACTAAGCTTGTTTTAAAGAGTAACTGGAAGTTCATGCCATGACGACTTTGGTTGGCAGAAGTTCTTTTGAATGACAATGTTCTCTGTATCCAGCTGCTTCTCAACTTTTTTTCCCTCATATTGTTTCTATTTAAGCATAGCTGAAGTCAGAAAAGTGTGTTGTGTTAACTCAGTTATAGCCTAGTTTGAATGTTTGTCCACATGTTGTGTTGGGGGAAAAAAACCCATAAACCTTTATTTTCATAGATAATGTGAATTGTAAACCCACACCGGTATTAATGTTACTTTTGAAATTCTTATGCCACAGTATATATAAAGGGAGAGCACGGATGTAGACATGATTATTCAAAAAAACTGAAGAAATTTTGAGGTACTGCTGAGTTCTTAAGCTGTAAATAGGTTTTGCAGCAAGATATATTTTCAGACCTTCCTAGTTATGTTACTGAAATCCATCAAGTAGAATAGCAAGGTATTTACATATTGTATACTTTCTTTATCAAATGTGGAATTTTTAAGTCACCCTAATTCTGGTAAAATATTGCCCTTCACAAGCTAGATAAACAGAAGTTTGTTTAATTCCAGCATAATGTTAATCTGTTTAGTAAAGGTGATGGTAATTTGACAAACTGGGAAGGGATAGCAGTCCTGAATTAATGAGTTATAAACCTATTTATATTTATCCAATGTTTAGGCCAACTGGCAAGTGCTGTTTGAATGCCTGTGGCTTCCTATTTTTTAATTTTAAGAATTTCTAATCTCATTTTTTATAACTTTGTTTAAAACTTTCTTAAACTTCTTTTAAAAAGATAAAACAAAACTGACTGATAATCTAATATGGTGCCTGTTCTAAAAATTGGGCCAGCTAATGAGTAGACTAGACTATTTCAGTTGCAAGGGACCTACAACGATCATCTAGTCCAACTGCCTGACCACTTCAGCGCTGACCAAAAGTTAAAGCATGTTGTGAAGGGCATTGTCCAAATGCTTCTTAAACACTGACAAGCTTGGGGCATCGGCCACCTCTCTAGGAAGCCTGTTCCAGGGTTTGACCACCCTCTCGGTAAAGAAATGCTGCCTGATGTCCAGTCTCGACCTGCCCTTGTGCAGTTTTGACCGTTCCCAGGCGTCCTGTCCCTGGATCCCAGGGAGAAGAGCTCAGCAATGCTTTCAGTTAATTCCTGAGAAGTAAAATGAAATCCAAAAAGAGTGTAGTGGTAGTGAAGAATTGTAGGTGGTGCTTCTTACAAATTTGTGTGTCACATACATATGATGTTGAGCTAGAGCTTCAGGAGGCAGCTTGTAATGTACATAGTTGCTTTCCCTTTTTCACCCTATTTTAAATCCTGCCTGCATTATAACTTTTAAACTGCTAACTTGTGCATTCTGAGTGTTTGGCACTGAATACTAGTGTGTTTTGTTTTTTTAACCAATTAGAAGTTCATGGCGCTCTAGGTAAAACATGGTTTTCTAGCAGGTATTCACAGAACAGAGCCCTCTGAAGTATGTTAGAGGATTATTAATCGCATCTGGCAGAAATAAAAAGAACACTCGTTGTCATTTTCATAGGAAGAATGGGAAAGTATCAAGTATTTTCTGTAAATTCTTGTGGAAGCCTTCAGTCTTTTCAAATTAAAATGAACAAGATTTTAAAAGGGGGAAGAACAGTTGCCTTTCTTTTGTGCCTTTACAATGGGTATGGCCTGGATTTTGTTCTAAATTCCTCCTTACGTAACATCAATGGGGATATATTTGGCACCGCTACAGTGTAGTGATGAACATTGCAGGGAACTTTAAAAAGTGCTCGTTGTTAAATACATATGCACAAATTGGAGCTTTAAACACAACATCTCTGAAGCATAGTGGTGAATAAGGGAAGTGTTACAACTGAGGAAGCAGTGGTAAAGTTCACCTTTGGATGTAAAGTTATCACTAGATTTTTGATGTTCCTTTATACAGGGGTGAGTTTTGCTGTTAGACGTCACATACATTTAAAAAAAAAAAAAAGCTGTATCGCATAACCCACTGAGCTCATTTAATTTGATAAACTACATGGATTTTACATCTAGGAATCCATAATATATAGTCATGTCTTGCAAAAGAAGTGAAGCCTTTGTGATAGGAAATCATATTCTGGAGCAACATCTGTTAGATCTCATGGAAGAGTATTATGAAAATCGAAGCATTGCGATTAAAAATTGGCAAGCCAACAGTTTAGAAATTAATGGATTTGCATGTATCAGATCCCTGCAAACCAACAACCAGTTCTATCCCACCAAAAGAAAAAAGAATCAAGATACAGAATTTAATGATGCTCTCTCTTCAATGCTGATGAAAACTGTAGGTTTAATTCCTGCTTGCTGTACTAAAATCTCATGTTGTGTGCAAATATTATAAATAAAACATGAGAGCAGTCTGAACAGTTACTTTCTTGCTGGTTTACACCAGCATGATGCAGTTCAGCTTTATCTGTTCTGTGGTAAGAAGCATAAAAGCCAACAAAACTTTTGAATATCCTCTTTCTGTCTCTGTGGCCAAAGCTAAAGGAGAACAGACCCATTACAAAGGCTTCCATGCAAAGTAAATATCTTAAAGGTTTTTTATAGAGAGTGCTCTACCATCAACTCGCTTCACTGTCTCTGTTGTAGGGACACTTACGTAAACTAACTGTGTCATTGTCTGTCCGTCCACTAGAGACACAGCAGGACCAGACTTACAAAGATGACAGTGACGCTGCAACTTTCAAGCAAACCCTCCCAGATCTCACCCCTGATGAGCCTTCAGAAGCACTCAGCTTCCCTCCCTTAGGAAAGGAGGAAGGGAGATGTGATGAAGATGTGCCCAAAAGCCAAATGGAATCACCTGCAGTGGAAAATAAGGAACCCCAGTCTCAACCCGCTGAAGAGCCAGTAACACCAACAGCTGAGGAGGGGACAGCAGCTGATGCAGGTAGTGATGAATCTCCAGGGAAGTCCCCATCAAAAAAGAAAAAGAAGTTTCGCACTCCTTCCTTCCTGAAGAAGAGCAAAAAGAAGAGTGACTCCTAAAGGCCAAACACACTGCAGAAACACTGTCATATTTTAAAATCCATTAACCACTAGAATGTACCAGATCGTACTGAGTGTTTTGTCTTATTATGTAAATGAATGCAGCAAGTAATCCAACCAGCCCCTCAAGTTATGGCTTGATTGTTTAAGGTTATAACCAGAAACTAATGTCCAAAAAGGTGCTAATCCTGTGTTTTCAGCAGCTAACCGCAGATCTGATCCCTAATTTGTAATCAAATGTAAATGACTTCCAAGTGGAAGGTATTCGATTGCTATTTTTAATTTAAAGCCCGCACCGCTTTACAAAAGAATAAAAAAAATTTCACAACTAAAAATAAAACACGCATTGCTTACCACAAGAAGTGTTCTTTTCCAATATTCTGTTCCAAGTCACAAGTAAATTTCTTCTTAAATATTGACTTTTAGAGAGGATGCTTTTGCCGTGCGTGGTGTTTTCAAGCGGGATGTATTCTTGAACTGACATGTAAACTTCTGCAAGCTTGTGATTACAGATCATGTTTTAGTCAAGCTTTGAGGCTATCCATTCCTTCCTCTCCTTCTCCCCTCTCACTATTGTAACAAAATGAAGGTGTTTTTCACTTTGTTTTATTTTATAACTGGCTCGTGGAATCATCTTTGATGTCTAGGACTGAAATAACTGTGGTGTGTTCCGCTCATGTTGTGCGTTGAAAGAGCCCAATCTGGTTTGGTTTTGTTTTGTTTTGTTTTTTCTAGTGAAAAGTTTAAGGGAAATCTGTCTTTAAGTCTTGCCTCCCTAAGAACTGGTCACATGGTAATTTGGCTGTTAGAAAAGGTTAAAAAGTAACTGTCTTAAAAGTATTTCACAAGTTTTTCAGCTGGTGGTATGAGGCATGGGCAGTTGTATTTTGGGCCCTAGCATAGGGGTTTTTCACCCTCTTAAGAATCCCTTGGGTGCACATGCAAACCTGCTGCATATAAACCCTATTTGCAGCCTTTTGTGTTTGTTCCTTCCCAAGATAAAAATGTAAATGCATTACACTGAATATTTAACCTTGTTTTATATTAATTATTTTCACTTACAAAAACTGGCATTTCTTCAATAATTTTTTTTGTTGTTGCCAGCAGTAAAGTACAGAAATCCCAAGTAACCTTAGAGGTGTATTTTCACAGTTTGCTATAAATGTTTGTTTAATATGTAGCATGGTAAAGAAAATCACTTTTGCCACTGAACTCACTGTTTTCCAGTGATTGCCATGCTTCTGTCTATCACTAATTGTAAAAGTAGTTTAAGATCAGATAGGTAAAGCTTGCAGGAATTCTCCAGAAACCGTGCGTAATTACCCCAGCCAAAAGCGGGGAAGGCTGGTAACCACTTCTGGTTTCTAGTATTAGCATTTCTGGTTTTAACAGCAGGAACCATTGACACCCGGTGTGGGAGAGAGAAACACTGACTCACAGTAAGCATCTGTAACAAAACAGAATATGGATGTAACCTTTTAGGACAATATTAAACGTTGCAATTGGTAAAATAGCAGAAAACTGATGCCTTATCTTCATGCAGCAGAAAGCATCAAAGGAGAGGTGGGTTGAGCGGTCGGAGGCGGCTGCGGATGGACAGGGCCTCTGTTAGGCTGGGGGGTGCCGATACCTCGGGCTGCTTTCAGGCAGCGAAGGGGAAAAGGAGGACGAGAGCTGTAAGGCCTCCGATGGGCAGAGAGAGAGGTTTTGAGGTAGTAAGTGACGTCGTTGAGAAGTGTCGGGTGGGCGGTTGTGGAACGGGTGGAGGTAGGGTGGGACAGAAGCAGCAGGAGAGCACTGTGCAGGAGAGACCCCTGAGCAGCAATGTTTAGTCAGGACTGCATGGCACGAATGGCTTTCGGCTTGTACTTCAACCTTGTATGTCCTCTGTACACTAGGAAGCATACAATACTTATTTTGCTAAATTGTGTTCTATTGCAGGGTCATAATTAAATGACTAATTGCTATATGTTTCAGTTCTTTAATGGAGTCCCTCCATTTATCTTGACCACATATGCAATGACTCTTAATTTCTAATTTTGTAGTTTGTTCTTTTAATTCTTTGTATTACAATATGAAATGTAGTCATGTATGGTATGGTTACACACTTTGGGGCAGAATAAAGTCCTGTATTTTTCTTTCTTTCTTGTATCATTAAGTTCTACTCACAAATAAAATCTTTAAAAAAAAAAAGTCTTTTCCTGCTCTGCTTTCAAGACTTGTACAGCTTTATTCTGCAGCTGTAGCTTGTTGAATTTTGTTTGCTCCACTTTCTTTTAATGATTAATGTGTTGCCTAATGATTGCTTTAATGTACTCTCAGAAGACTCCAGTTGGCTACCTTAGGGCTTCCTTCCCCGAGAGTCCCAGCTGGGCTGCAGGCAGAACCTGGTGGAGGGGTCCTTCCTTCAGCAGCCCTGCCTGGGAGTCAGCAGGCTGGGAGGTTGGCCCACTGGAGGAGGCTTTTGGCACCTGGGGTGGAGTTCTGGACCCCCCTTCGGCTTAGCCAAACAACTGTCTTTGGGTTAGGTGGGTCAAATGTCATAAACTGTAATTAACTGACTAGACAAGTGTACAATGTAACAGTTTATTTGTAATGCAAAAAGAACAGTACTTGGTCATCAAAAAACATTACATGGTATTAGAAATATAAAAGATCTCTCAAAATTTAATTGTGTATTAAAAAGGTCCACCTGTGCCACAGTATCAGTCAGGCTGAGCATCTGTGGAGATCTCGTGACAGCTGGATAGAAACTGCCCGTTAGAGGTACCATGTGGATTTGTTCTCTGCTGGACAGAACCAGACAGAACCGTGTCTGTTGCAGAGGCTGCGGGCAGTGCCCCCGGTGGGGCTTGTGCTGATGAGGAAGGGAGAGGCGCAGAGAAGAGCTCTGTGAACGCACCAGTGCCGTGTTCAGCAGCACCAGAGGGCGAGTTGGGATTGCAGCATGCTGCGTTGCTGTAATACCCCCCCTCTGCTTGTCTGATGATCTTAATGCTTTACTCAACTGTTTCGTGGGGTTTTTGTTTTTTTCTGTTTGCAAAGTGAGCCCCGCTGGCTGGGAGGCCATCTTAAACATCACTGCTTGTGGAGGGCCATAAGAAACTTGAAGTCTGTTGTTGCTGCAAATGGTCATGACCCGTCTCCGTGCAGAAGATCAAAATCCGCCTCTTCGTGTTTGATCAGCAGAGTCAGGTCTTGCAGAGGTCCTTGGAAGCTGGTGATAGTTCTGTGGTTACTTCCTACTCCTCCTTTCTCTGCTGTTTTATAGAGCTAAGTAAAACAAAGGGGATGAGGAAGAAAGCGCCACAGACGGTGAAGCAAACCTCTGCCCCTGCCAGCCAGTAAACTGCAAAGGAAACAAGATTTAGCTCGTTAGTACACTTGTCCTTGCATCAAGGTAAACTGGGCTTTAGAGCTGCTGCTGTCAACGACTTAGCGATACAGCTGTAGAACACACAACTACTGAATCTTTCACTGCACATCCTTGCTGGCCCATAAGTTATAAAGAGGAGGTGGCCAATAGCAGTGCTGGTTCTCTTCCAAGGAAAAGTGGTTATTTTGAATAGGATATTTTCATTCTTGCCAGTATGGCAACAGGGAAGTTCCTATTCACGCATTCATTGAGCTTTACAAGGCAACTATTCAACTCTGCCCCAGCACCTCCTCCACAGCTGCTCCTGGCACTGCCTGTGCTGCTCTTGAAGGTCTCTCACTGTTGGCATCGCTCTCCTGACGTGAAACACTCCTGAATCCAATGCCGAGGGCAGGACTTGGGCTGCACTCGGGAGCAGTTTTGCTGTTAGGTCCAAAGCTTGGCTCTTCCTTTCAGAAAGCTGCTGTGCACAGCAGTGGTGTGGTGAGCCAGAGCGAGCCAGTTGCTTGGCATATGGATAGTCAGGAAAGAGAGTCTGGCTTTGCTCAGAGTTCAAGCTCTGACTTGCTGTGTAGCTGCTTCCCCTTGTTCTGTCCCTTTACCCTGTAATGGCCTGGGGGAACTGAACCCCGTACAGGCGCTACCTGTGCTCCTTAGGCACGGTCTAGGTTTGGCCTTAGCCGGGGCCACGACGCACTGCACACTCCCTGAGCTCCGGGGCGTTAGTAGAGTGCAGACTCTTTTATCTAGTTTATAGGTTACAGATGCTTTTAATGATGAAAGTTCTTTACTGCACATTATTGACTGTCCCTCCTTCATTTGTCTTAATTAAAACAATTAAGCACCTTAATTAATCTTGGGATACAGCTTCAAGAGATGTGGGGGAACCAGTTACCACAGCACAGGAGACCTTTATTTCACCCACTCCTGTTTACCCAGTGCCAGGGGGGCCCCTCAGCAGGTGGGGTTACCTGCTAAAAATGGCTAAAACTATGCCCAGCAAAGGCAAGGGTTCCTGGTCAGCCTCTGGCTCTCTGCACACTGGGGCCAGGCCCTCCATGGTGCTCCTCTGCCCGCACAGCTACACGCAGGGCTTAATTAGGTTGACGCTGTTGCTGGAATTTTTAAAGAGTCAGGCAATACCTGCTGTCTAGTTTATCTCTGCTTGTATGGACTTTTTTAACTTATCCATGAGGCTTTCGTTGGTGCTAACAAGGACCATGTCCTGCCCCTGGTGCAGCTCTCAGGGGTGCCTACTTCTGCAGAGACAACTTCTTTATGGCTCTGAAAACGTGCTGCACTTCCAACCCACCCGGGCTGCGGGGACCCAGAGTGACACTGTATGTTGGCAAAGGCAGGGAGGAGCGCGAGGCCACACTCACCTGTAGCTGACAGGATCGGTCCCAGGGCCCTGGCAAGGGCGCCCAGGCTCCTCAGGATCCCCATGACTCGTCCCTTCTGGCTGGCAGAGCCTGTGCAAGCAGAGAGACATCAGTGCAGAGGTTTTGCTTGGGGCAGGGAAAGCATGCAGGGCAAGGCACTGCTGTAGCTCTTGGAGCCTTGTTCTTTTGGAGGTTATTTATTTCCCACATGCATCTCCCCCTCCCTTAATTTCACACTCACTGCCCAAGCTGCATTAATTTCTCCTCCACCAAGATAAACATGACTGCGTCACTGAAAAAACACTAGGGCTTGTCAAGAGTGCTTATCCATAGACAACTTGTCCTGCACCCTCCCCAGCCCCCCAGACAAAAACGACAACAAACAAGCTTTGCATTGTACAACAAACAGATCTGCTGAGGTGGCACAGGTGTATAATAAATACAGAAGCATGGATGCAAGTTAAGTAAGAGCAACCTAAAAGTGGCATTAATGAGCAAAGCCTTACTTTTTCGCCTCAGCAAGCACTGTAGTGCTGCCAACCAACTGAACCAAAGCTAAAGAAAGAACTGTGTCATCCACAGATGGCAACACAGCTACATCTGCTTTAGAAGGTTACATAGCAACCAGTGCCACAAACGCACAAGGTTTTCAAAAGTTCCTTAGAAGGTCTTTTCTAAGGAATCAGGAAGAAATGATTTTACTGCTGGCAGCGATGGCTGGTGTCTCTTCCAGAGAACCCAGGCAATTCCCTGCTCAGTGCTGTTTGTAGCCTTTGCCCACTCTTCCTCATCTTCTTAATCATAACCAGAAATATGGTCACTTCAAGTTTCCCCATCAAGTTTCGCACTGGAACAAGGTGCGTTACACAGTACAAAATTGAAGTGCGATACTGATGGTCACTCTGAACAGATCATTGCTGTTTGTCAGCTCTGAAACTATCCATTACAGAGTGACGACGGTTTTCAGAAACAGGTACAAGTCAGTCTGGGGTTTTCCTATGCTCCCTTGCGGGGTGTTTCTGAATTCCCCAGAGTCAGGATATTGTCTGCCCATCCCCAGCAGCCCCGCTTAGCTTCTCTTCTGTGAAGGACGTTCATAGAAGGGAAGGAGTCGAAGGCTGTAGCAATTCCAGCGCAACACAGCTGGTTCTGCCTTCCCAGGGCAAAGCATGGTGCGACCGGAGGGTAACGACAGTCATGGATCGCTGGCTATACTGAAAAGGGGCAGCATACAAGTGACCGGGAAGGGCTGTTTTCTAGGCTTTAGCCTCACTCCTGCAGGGGTGGTTATGGCTTCAGGGTTACATAAGTACAACGTGGTGTAGCAGTTCGCTGTAACACTTAGCATTTCTGCCTTCCTTGTTAATGCATTTGGGGGGAAAAGGGGCCTTTTATGAAGCCAAGCAGCAGCCAGAGGCACTGGTCCAACGTTCAGATCTGAGGCGGACCTACACCACAAGCGTTCTTGTTGATGCATCACTAAACTTGAGGTCAATTCTGTATTTGAGCCAAAGGTCAATTATGTGGCCAAGGGCTGCTGCTCAAAGCAGGAAAGACACTCACCATAGCCTGACACCACTGCTGACAAACACGGGATAACAATGGCCGCAGCTGGAAAAATCCACAAAAGAGACTGTCAATGAACAGCAGAGAACTCAAAACAGTTACAAGAGCAATAGTGAAAAACATGTGGCCCAAACTCGTTACTACTGCAGAGAAATATGCTGAGCTCTGGGGCACTGTACCAACAATGAATCATCAGGTTTAATCCAGTTCAATAATGAAAACAGCCCCTCAAAGCCAACCTGCACAAAGAGCCCAGAGCCACGAGTGCTCTGAGCAGATGTTTCACATTAGTGTCTCTCATTCTGTGAGCCCACAGGAAAGGGGCAGATAGGTCAGATCAGCTAACTAACTGGTAGTTTTCCAAATCGCTGTGGTCTTGTCAGGTGGAGCAGGGAAAAGGAATTGCCCATATTTCATATGAACAATGAGGTGGCTGTACACAGAATCGCGCTGTCCCCATGCATATGGCTTTACCGTACTCATGGATGGAAGAGGCAGCTATGTTCTGTCTTGGGAAATAAGACAATCAAGTCCAAGAAGAAGAAGTTACAAAACTTCTGGACACAAAAGCCAAGAGCTGTTTAACAATCACTGCCCTTTTACTGAAACAGGGGCCTTCTCTGCCAAGAAGGAAGTGCTTTAAGCATACAAAGCAGAATCTTTTCTGGGAAGGAAAAGACAATTGGAGAGCAGGAACGATAGACATGTTGCCTTAACTGCAGGCGCCCTAACTCCTGGGGCAGAGGGAGGAGGGGGGCGGGGGGGGAAGAGGCCCCTCCAGAGGCATTTCTAGCTGGCTTAACTGGGGAATAGATGGGGACTTCTGCCCAGGTATGGAGCCTAGGAAGATGAGGCTCCTAACTTAGAAGCACAATTAGACAAAATTAATACATCCTCTCACCTCTCCTCACCCAGTGGGCTTTCAAAAGCAAGTTAATCTGTCAATAAGACGTAGATTTTGAAACCTGTCAAACACACAGCTGTGCCTAGACAAGCAAGCTACTAAATAGATGCATTTTGTGGTTTACAGTTTACTCTTAAATCAAGCTGTATCATGCAAAAGAGAAGTCTGCTACTGTTGTAATTAGTCGTACTTGAAGCTTTTTAACAATAGTTATCAGCATTGGGAATATCTGCAATCTCTTTTCAGATAAGCACTTCAGTAGATGAATCCAACTTCATTCATAATCATTTCCCTGAATAACGGCTTAGATTGGCAGAATATTATTTATGTAAACACTTAAACATCTTTGAAAACCATCTGCACTTATCAGAAACAATAGGTGCAGTTTTGTTCCCTCCCTGAGCTACCAGCTTGCAATGCAAGAGAGCAGAGCGGTGTCCAGCCAGCACAGCCCCATGCCACAGTGTTCAGGGCAACACTGATTTACCCTCTCGCTCAGCCTGAACGCACACTCCGGCCTTCAGCTTCAGAGTGCGCAGGTCTCTTCAGCCTAAGAAATGATGCAGCCACCACAGAAATACAAAGACATGCCATCTCCCTTCTTTTCCTGAGATGAGCTATTTAGTGAATATTTTGCTTCTAGGTCTAGTAAGAGGGGAAAAAACCCCACCCTCAAGAGCTCCCCAGCGAGACAGGACAACAGGAGCACTGGAGATGCTTCCAAATATCACTATGGCAACTTCCCGTGATACAAACAGCATCAGAAAAAAAACAAAACCAGACACTATTTCTTCCATATTTTATAAACAGAAACATCAACTTTCTGTTACTTATAGTTTGAAATTAGAAGTGCATCTTTTTTAACAGGGTGAACAAATACATGAAGAAAAATTATTTGTGCTTAGCTTTCAATGCATTTTGAAAAGCTCACCAAAAGAGTACAACAACAGTCCAACACTCAGCATGGTCACACTTGCAGCCCATCCAATTAACAAGAAAGCTGGAATCAGCAACATAATAGCCTGCAAAATGAATGAGTCGCACAGTTACATTTAAGCCCTGCTTGTTAAAGCTTAACTCCAGGTGTCCTGCCAGTTCTCTTCTGCTGACAGGACTACATTTTAAGTTAGAAGCAGAAAGCCCTTTCTTCCCAAGTAGACTTTTCAAATTCACCTGGATGGCCACACATCAGCACAATTTACTTTTCTGTTCCCTCTCACTGTCACATGATTGCAGACCACATACAGGCTGGAGTCACCTGTAACATAGGCTGTAGTTATCCCACCACTGAGGAAAAGATGATTTTTGCAGGGTTCTCTCTCTCACACAATCTACTGGGTGTTGGTGATTTTTTTCTCTTGTTCAGTGTTGAACTGGACAGAAATCTAGCTTTAACTCTTTATCTCCTGAGCTGGTACAAGAGATCAAAAAGCTTGCATGCAAGAGGACTACAGCTCCTCTGCTTTTTCTCAGCAGTATTGACCGATTTTATCTTTAGCTTTCAGAGTCCATACTTCTGGAGCCAAGAGTTAAAAATGGGGGAGGAATGGCATTTAAAATTCAAAACCCAAAAGAAAAAACATTCTTCATCTCCTCCAAGAGCCTGGACTGCAGTTCCCCTGTGATGTCTCCCTCGCATACAGAGCTCTCACAGAAAAGACAGATCAGTTAAGATCTGCTGCATTTCATAAAAGAGGGTATTCACTCCTGCCAAATGTCTCATTTTGAAGATTTGGTTATAAATGAGCTACTGTAATCACTGTGCTAAGAGAGGCCACATTTGCCATATGACCCAGATTCACAAATTGCCAGAATAACTTCAGCACAAGAGGGAACTCCCACAAAAGCCACTCAAGCCACATACATCGACGGAAAGAGTGCCCCTTGGCCAGCGGGTTTCTGCATAGTGCACACGGGTGTTTGAGAAGCGATCAGCCCAGACCAACTAAACTAAGTGTTTAAAGGTAACTACAGTTAGTAGTTAGTGCAGGCAAGAGGAAGGAGTACAAAAATTAGTGGGGCTCTACTACTACTGATAAAATCAAAGAGCTGCTTGAACTTTGAGTGAACTATCCTAATTAACATAGTAAAAACCCTGCCCTCGGGAAGGGAAGGACCCCGACCAACAGAAGCCCCCTCCTCCAGGAACACTGCAGTAAAAGAGGAGGATGCTGTGACTAAGTGGAGCTGAGGCTGGTGAGAACCAAAAGAAGCAAGGGTGACGGAGCGAAACCGTGAAAGTACCGATCGCTGTTGCGTGGGGTGTGTACACGTCTTCCGCCTGTTAACCAAGGGGTGCTAGGTTTGCGGAGTCACCACCTGGCACCCATCTCTGTGCAGACACAAAATAAATATCTCAGCTCTGTGTGCAATCAGCTCTTTGCACACCGGGTGTGCACGCTGCCACCATTGAAATCACACTAGCCTCAAAATAACCCATAATAAGTTGATGGAGGCTTTAACAGTCCATAGCATGCCTACTACCAAGCAGCCAAGAAAAAAAGTTCAGGAACGCTTGAAACCTGCTTTTTTTAGTTCCACGCACAAACGTTAAGTGACAAGACATGTCTACTTGTTCCACAGCTGTGTAAGCTGCAGGGAACTGCTCCCTGTCATCCCAGTACAGCAGCAGCAGCATCTCTATGAAGAAAGAGGCAAGCAAAACAAACGCACGCAACACTTTTGTCAGTGAAACTTCAGTCGGAACATTGGTACATGCTGTTGTTACATGTAATGCTGATGACCACAAATCGAAGATTGGAGGAAGAAGCTATTTCCCCCTGCCCACCAGTGAAATATACTCTAGGGAAAGCCTGTCAAGCACGGAGATGGCCAGACTGATGATGTCGCTGAAAATTTGCCAGAAAAGGAGTCAGAGATCAGCTCTGAAGCAGCTTTAATAGTTTCAATGACTGCACTGCAAGAGAAATCACTGAAACAAAACAAAACCTTCACAGCGCTTCACCTAGCTTGCACAGACAGACACTCTGTTCTCATTCCCTACTGCAGTTATATGTGAAGAACTCAAAGTTTCAATAATATCATAGCTGATATGGTAAGAAATGGCTCTAATGTTCCAAAGTTTAGTTAGACTGGTAAGTGCCCAACAACCAGGGTCTTGAGAATTCATTTGGCTGGATTAATGAGGCACATATTTCTTTTGTTTTGACAAGTACAGTTACAGCCGCCAACTACCTTTTGTTGCACTTTAGACTAAAAATTAACATTGCAGATTTGTGGGGGAAAAGAAAAAAAAGTATTATTTTTTTACCTTTTTTACAGCTCTGATTTCATTTCCTGGCTTGATACGACGAGCATAGCCTCCCTGGATCACAGCCATTGTTATTCCAATAAAGAAAAACATCTTGCCCTGCTGCATGCTAGAAGGGAGGCAAAAAACTCAGATTATGGAGTCACGCACAGAGCATTCCACCCTGGGATTCACAGGTCAAGTATAGACCCTTTCCTGGACAAGTGAGAGAAAATGCTTTTTAGTGCTCGCATGAGCAGCACGAAGTTCTTAATATGTTGACATTAATTTCCATGGCAGGCAGACAGCAAGAAGATAAACCTCTGAGGTCTCACGTAGAGATGGGACAGCTGCTGGCAAATGCTGCAATCATCTCTAGGCTGCTATGATGTAGTTTAGTTGTTTCTAGGGTGGCCCACAAAGAGTCAACACGTTAATTACCCTGTGCCCTGGAAGTCTGTGCCATATGCACAGGAGTTGTTGGTTTCCAAGGAACACGTGTTTTGCTTTCTCACAACCACTGCCACCACTCATGCAGACTTTGATTAAGGTCACCAAGACACAACATGGGCAGTGGCATGGTGGTGATCATGTATTGCACCAGGAAGCTTGCAACATTATTCCCTCTGCCCTTAAATATTTCTTCAAATTTCTCTTTCATCTCTCTTACCTACTAAACTATGTGGATATTCTCAACTAAAACTTCTCACCTCCATAACAAGCTTGCTTGTCACACAGCCTGTACTGTTAGCATGAAGTTGTGTATCTACTACATGGTCATCCTGAAAGGACTGTGCAGAAGCAAGCTTAATACACTAGAAAACCTTTCCTTGATGCACACACATTAGTTAAGCCATGAACTGTAATGAAAGACAGACAAGGAAAGATGAGACAAACCTCTGAGAATTACTCAAAGGAAAGGACACACATAAGGAATCAAGCTGCAAGATCATGTTCCTGGCTGGAAATCTTCCTATGAGCTGGCAGGAAAAGTATTTCAAGCTGAGCTGCTGTTAGTGGATTCTGCTCTCTTTCTTCTCTTCTGTTTGACTAAAGGAAATGAAACTCTATGATGTAATGACTGTACACCATATGCAATGCAGAACTCTGATGAGCAAATGTAATCACATAGTTATCTCTCCATCCTTAGCCTTTTTTGAGCTTCAAGATTTGTCCTGATACTGAAGAACTCTTCTGGGCAAGAAGAGAACAGGTTTTATTATAATCAATACAACTAGCCCAGCTATACATATTTCAGGAGCTTTAATTTAATCTTGTGTATTGATTTTTCTCTAGTTATTAGAAGTTGTAGAATGAGTATTTCCTTTCATGATAAACAGTGTGCCTATATTTTCAAAATTCTTCCCACAAAGTCCAAGGATCACTGAACGCAGTGGTTGCTTTCTGAGTGTTTTTACTAACCTCATAAAGCCTCTCTTGAAAACAAATGAAGAGACCTCAAATCAGATTTTGGAAAATAACCTAGACAAAATATACAATATTTATCTTCTATACCTGCTGAACTGGAATCTCTGGTGAGTGAGAAAACTCAGCGTATACTCCAAGCCGGAAAACAGGAAGAGGTAGAGGAAATAAGCCAGGCCCAAGATTTTGAGATTCTGAAGATCTAAACAAACAAAAAACCAAACAAACACCAAGGGGGGGGGAAGAGAGAGAAACACGGTGGTGTTTTTCAAGCATAGCTTGAGAATGTAACAACAACAGTAGAGCAACATTTATCAACTGTACAGGGAAAAGTTCCCACCTCAGATGCTCATTTTAAATATCCATACAAGACAATGCCACAAAATGACTTCTGCCCACTACCTCCCTTCTTATGAGGGAAGGAGAGCCAAAAAGACTAATCTCTGTATGGGTCACCCTGGTCTCACTCACCCAGTCCAGCCCCTCTGCCTCACACTCACACCCCCACCTATATGAGGATTTATTTATTTTAATCAATACCTGTATCCACCTAATACTTTGATGCTGCTCTCAGGATGATACTGGCTAAAGCACAGTATCCCTTTCTGCAAGCTACAAATGGTCTGTGACATATTACCTTACTTATTCTTCTGCCAGTGCAGGGTTTAACAGGTTTTCTCCAAAGTGGCAAATACTACTCTATTCCTGATGCAGCAGCAAGGAGGACTGAATGACGTGTTGGTGTAGCTGCCAAACACTGATTTATTTTCTACAGCTTAAATAATTTAATATATAGAAATGGCCAGCTCAAATCCTACAACTCCAAGTCCCGAATTGAGAAATAAAATTTCAGTCTGAAGTTTCCTGGTTTGCAGCTCAAATAAGCAAACTCACATCTCCCTTACTCATACCTTGATCTATCTTTCAAAATCACTTTACTTACCCCATGCTGCAGCCAGTGCCTGAAGATAAAGCAAGTAGCAAGTCAGAAATCTTCAAAACACTAATCTCTAAAATCTTATTTTGGGAATAACAGAACCAGCATCCAAGGGAACTTGCAATTCCCTGTTCCTTAGTTTTAAATGAGGTGGGTTTTACATGAGTGAATGGAGTGCTCCTTCTGAAATGGTTTGAGTAAAGTTTTCACTTAGAAACCACTGTCACATACAAAAAGACATACAATATTATAAAAAGCCAGCTAACACTTACTCTCCTCTGAAGGAGATTCCTTTCCTCGGGTGACTGCAGAGAACTGAAATAAAGCCAAAGGACTGAGCAAGTCAACTGCTGCCTGAAATCCAGACGTCACAGAAGAGACCTGATCAGAGAAAGAAGGAGGTTTATTTAAAAACCTGATGTAATAACTACTGCAAGGAATTGACAATAACAGTCAAATATGCTTATACACCTACACAAATTAACTGAGATGAAACAAGGGAACTGGCATTGGGGTTCGAGTGACCCCCAACAACAGCCCAAACTTTCTGAACACAGAACTAGCTCCAGCACTATAACTAGGAGGTAAAGCACCGATAGCAGCTTTCACTGAAGACAGAAAACAGATTCTTCCCTGGGTTCTTAAAAGCAGAAGAGGGTCATTCTCCAAAACCTGAAGGTGCCTTTATTTGGTTCGCTTTTTGCATCATCCCTCATGTGCAATGAACATTTACTGGGCAAATAATGGCCTATCTGCCTGCAAGTTCATGGGAAGCCGGGGATTTGCTTGTGTGCTACAGGTCTGAGAACAGTACATGTAGCACATCAAACAACGGCCTGTTTTGGTAGTGGTTGTTCTTTTAGCTAGCGACACCTCCTGGGGAAGAAAAGGAAAATATAATTTTTAGAGAGATTCCTTGGAGAGATTTTAGAGATTCTGCCCAGACACATTGTGTGGCTTTTTGAAGAGGAAAATTTATTTTGTAGCACTTCTGGTCCTTGTACTCTGTACATCTCAACCTAATTACACATCTCATGGCACTCTCCCTGCTCTTCATCAACAGGAGCTTAGGAGATGCTTATTCTTTGATCTACAGGGAATTCAATTTTTTAAATTTGTTTATTTTTTATTCTAAGGTATAGAAAATTAAAGAAAATACTAATGAAGAAATAATGTCTAAATTCTTAAGGAAACAATTCCTTTTAAAGTAGGAGAATTTAGACTGTCACTCTACATGACAGTCACAGGAAGAGATAAGACAGACTCAAGAATCCTGAATAATCACACTAAGTATTTGACGTCTTCAAAGAACTGCACAGACTTTATCTGATGAGCTTCCTTCTCTTCCCAGATAGGGAGGGAGAGCGCTATTATCCCCTGAGGGCAGAGACTAAAGGTCAAATTATCAGTGGAACATAATCTCGGTACATGACCTCAGGATTTGTATGCACTGGTTTTAATAAAGCTGTAAACAAATAAACATTCAATATAGTATTAACATGACCCCTGTCTTACAGTCAGAGCTTCTGAGTATCCAACAGCAGAGCTCTGGAGCCCATTAGTCTCACAACAGCAACCAATTCAATATACCAGGCTGGTTTTGTATAAAGCCATAAAGCTGCTGATCCACATAGAGCAAACTGGGTGATTTATTTCCCCTTCCACTGCATGTATTGCAAAGAGTAAACAGGCACTCCCAAGAAGAAGCTTCCTCATGCTTTTAAAAGGTCTGTAAGAGGATTTCCTGAAGCTGGCTTGTAGCAATCCTCAGTTCCTGCATTTGTTGGCATGATGGTGTTTGTACTACAGCATAGAGAATCTGGTGGCTAGCAACTCCCTTCAAGCATGTTTGCCAGTAATAAAAAAAGCCCTGTAGTTTGTACCTGTTTTGAATTATTATCCACATCAGACAGGGTGCCAAGCTTCTTTGTACTACAAGGTTGATTTCAGTTTGGTCCAGAGGATATACATTATATATGTATATGTTTAAAATCTTAAGTGTTTTATGAAACATATATATGTATTAGATTTTTTTTTAATACACATGTGTGTGTGCATGTAAATTTCTTTTAATGTCTCCTATCTTTGACCTAGAAGCAGTGGTCTAGAAGCAACTTAATCCACTGATCGATAATGAAAACATTGTCCTAAAACTGACAAAAGTGTTTCACCACCCCCAAATAACAAAGTATACACTGCCAATTTCAGTCAATGTCACCAGCTGCATGGAGTTTAGATTCTTCACAGGTTCAAAATCTGCAACATCTAACTGTATTTAATTTCTATGTTTATGATTTATTACTCCAAAATTGCTCAATTTTACTTCGTAATTACCCCAAAAGTCACCTTGAATGGCAGACATTTTTCACAGTGTCTTTGTTTACTCTGTTTTCCTCTAGTGCAGAGAGACTAAGTAACATGTCTTGAAGGCACAGTCAGTCCAAATCAAGAATGCAGCCTGGGCTTTCCAAGCTCCAGCCTTACCCTTCAAATAAGACACTCTTCAGTATGCATAGAGCAAAAGCCTTATTTTTCCCTAAGTTTGCTAGTGATGCTGCACAGCCCTACACATAGTCCTTGCATAATTAGCTGGACACCATAAAAAAAAAAAAAGTTGTAAGACCCTCCAGCTAGGCAGCCTTGCCCATGACTAGCTTAGCTAAAAATTAACTCAAAAGCTCTTAAAGGGGACAGATTCCACTAGAGACCTTTCTATTCCTCCCTTCTCCCAAGCAGGTAACAGCAAAAGCTGTTTTGGCCACTTCATGTAAGACCAGTGTCTCTGACAGGTGAAAGGTACAGGTACTCTTCACCTGATAAACTTGTTGAACAGTTGAAAAAAAGGGGAAGAAAACCAGCAAAAAATCTGTTCTCTTTGGATGAAAACTCATCCCTGCTCTCCCTGTCCCCCTCCACCTTCCCCTTTCTACAAGTTAATTCCAACATGAATGAATGTGAAATACTTGATCTTCTCTCCTGTGAAAAGAGGACTGATAAAGAAATAAGACTATCATCAGAACACAGCATATTTCAAGGAAACAGATGTCTGATCCCACTGACACGTCCTCCTACCGGTTATCGTTATAATTTCCCCTCTTTTTACAGCTTTGTCCTTCCAACCCATCCACTGCTATACTCTGGGAGCACCTGCTCCAGCTCAGCAGCCCAGCCAAGTTCCAGAAGGGCAGCCAACATACCTGCCTTTCCTTCATCATCCACAGGCCAAGAAAACTGCTCCCCTCCCACTCAGAAATTGAGAGGAATTACCCAAGAAAAGAGCAAAGCAGCCTAATAAGTGAAATTACAAACACCCTAGAACACATAAATCACATGGGACCACTGCCCAGATGCAGGCTGAAAGGAGACAGCACAAAAGCACTAACACTGATACCAATCCCAAGAAGTTCCAATGCCAGACAAACCACTATCTCATCAGCTATCAAACACTCTATTTTGCGTGACTGGGACCTGACCCTGAGAGGCAGCTCTTAATCCACCTCACGCAATACCTACTGCTGCACAGAGCCCCAAAAAGCAGGGACAGAGCACTCATTTTCTTATCAAAATTCAGTCATGTTGACTAACACAGACTAGCTTATCAGAAGAACTCTCAAGAGAATAATAAACCGGGGAGGGAGGTATTCAGGCATCACACCGTCCTAAAAGGCACTGAAGCCATTTATCCCTCTACAGAAAAGGTGGAATTGTTTATAGAACACAGATTCACTCTACAGCACTTCCCTACATCAACATGTTGCCACCACCCCAGAGCGTGCAGTTCTAACCAAGAACAGGACTTTATCCGGAATGTTTAGAAACAGCCAAATAGGAAAGAGGAAGAGGTGATGCATGGAACGGCTGTTAAAAAAAAAGAAAAAAAAAATAGCTGTAGTGCTTGGGAAGACAACATGAGCGACCAATTGCACGTGAGACACAACCTGCTGGGAAACACTCAGAGAAGGTCTAAAGTTTTGCCCCAGCAGGAGCATTGCAGACAAAAGTTTCCTGAACAATTCCCACTGCCAAATGGGTTTGGCTATCCAGAGACCAAGCGTGCTTCAACGGCTGAGTGCTGCTTAGAAACAAGGGATGATAGGAAAGATCCAATCCAGCTGAAAGCCCCAGATTGAGTGCTTCACCCAGATACCTACAGCTGAATTGTCTCCCACACTACCAAAGGAGACTGCTCCACGAGATTTTTAATCAGATATATCTTGGACAGTGTCCGATCACTTAAAATTAAATCATAATGTTAATAAATGTTTGGCCCCACAAATCCAGTCACTGAGTTTTAGCAAATGTAGATATTTTCTACCTGTGGAAGACAACACAGCTCAGAGATAACAGTCATTTGCTACTTGAGTGTCCAAAATAATCAAGCAAAGACAAGATAATAGTTAAGAAAATTTCTAACATGCTGGCTAAATGAAAGAAAATCCAGTCTCTGATGTGTTTACTTTTATGATTAGCTGAAATTCATCCTGAGGGAGTCATTGTGATCACAGTTTTAAATTCACCCTCTTCCTCCTAAGGTCCCATTAATTTTTTAGAAATTTAAACCTTACACACCAAAACCAGCAATTAAGCAGACATGTTAACTATAAAGAATTTCTCATATTACACTGGGCTAAGAGGTAGGACCATCATGCAACCACTTTGACACTAGTCTGAATAATAATATTAAGTCCTAGTCCCAGGAATGAGCTAAATTCATGAGATACTGACTCAGCCCCTTCTTCATTGTTTCCAGTATTTCAACAGTTCTCAAATCCTGTTTTTCACAAGAAACACAGATCTTCAGATTGATAGTCCATTTACCCGTTTTTCTTTGGGAAGTGTCTCCGGAAGTAGGAAGAAGATGAAAATTAAATCAGCCACAGCAAACATGAGTGCTAACAATGCTGAACGAAGATAGAATACTTCTCCTTTCTCTGTCTCCATGGCTAGGTAAGCTCCGATCATGGGACCCAGGGTAAAACCAAGGGAGAAAGCAATGCCAATCATTGCCTGCAGTGATACAATGAACAGAGACATGTGGTTTTAGACACCAGTTTGTTCAGGTAGCTCAGTTCTAAAACAGTTTGGAATTCCTGGCATTTATCTTAAAGAAATGCAACCACCCTGAGGATGTACAGAGTGCACAGCAATGACAGTTAAATGTGAAAAAACTGTTATTTCCAAATAACTGATTTTATTTTCTGTCTAGTCAGGAAAATGGCAGGAACAAACTGCAACATGGTTATAAGTGAAAGGAAGTTGGGAAGGGAAATAATGATTCTCACCTCAGGGACTGCTCAGCCAGCAGATCCTTCGGCCATAGGATAAACTTTTGTAGTGTAGAACTGGAGAAGGGAGGACAGCACCATGGTAGGAATTCATAATGATGTCTACAGCTTCTAAAAAGCTTTGGCAATTTCTGTATTTAGGAATTTATGTCTCATGGAGCAAACAGGGTGAGGGGCGTCCCAGAACAACCTGAATTTAGTGCAACTACTAAAGAGGATTGATGAACTCACTATGAAACCAGCATATAGGAAAAGAGGTGGAATCTGTACACTCTGGGTGGGAGCTTAAAAAAGCACTGATTTGAGTAATCAGCCTCAGTGAGATTGCTTAAGAATACAACAGTGCAGGATCTGGCTCATTTTCTTTAAGAGACATTCAGAGATGTATACTTGCATATACAGGAACCAAACATGACATCCCAGGACACAATCCTCCTGCTTTCCTGAGTCTATTTAACTATACCTATAGTACTAAACTAAACAAGGCTAGGGCACACTCAGGTGTCACCTCACAGTCTCCAGTGTTGTTTCAGCCTGCCCAGCTAGCACTCTTCCAACCAATGCCCCATCACAGTTTGCGAATAGCATCAGTCAGACGCTATTCTCTTCCCAGAAAGCAGAATTAACATGCCTATTCTGCTCTGAAAAGAGAGTATAGCCATATGGACGTGAGCCATGCTGTACTAAGTGACTTGCTCTCATGACTTGCTCTCAGACCCTAAAAATAGGCCCTGACCCATTTTATTTACTAGTGCTGTATGGCTATCCCTCTCCATACATAAAAATACACGTTGGCTTACCAGGACAATAATAAATTGATTGGAAAATTCATTAGCTATTGCTGTGAAATCTAAAGCTTTCCCCTCCCAAGAAGCAGCTGTCTCGCATAGTGGCTTGTAACAATCTGTTGAGAGAAGTTTGGACCCCCAAGGTTTTTATAAGATGAAAGATCTAACTGGCAATTCACAGGCAAAGTTCAGCCTGCAGGGTGTTTCCATCTGGTCCACTGCCTTCTGGAAGAGGACAAGGCAGCTGTTCATATTACTTGCTGCTCAGTCAGCCAAATGCCACACCCTTTACCCACTGAGCTCAGATCCTGAAGCCAGTGCAGCATCCAAGGAAGTCAGGATTGTGCAGTCCTGCTGCACTTCCACAGTTTGGGAAGGTGAGAAAAAAGGGGTTGTCCTATAACTGGCTTCCAGCTACCAAAATTGGGCCATAAGACCTTTCAATTTCTCAGCTATTACAATGAAGATTACAGTTACCAGTAGGAGTAACAGTTGTAACAGTTACACAGGTAGTTTTTCCACCTCTAGGGCATCTGCATTTCACTTGTAGGTAAAATTCATTGACAAGTAAAGTCTGAGAGCTCACCAGCAAAATGATCTGGCATCCTTCCAGAAGCAGGGTAGTATATAAAGTTGTGTTTTCACTTGATCAATGAATACACACCTGAGGAAGACATTCTGAGCACCTGCAATCAATTAAAATTTACCTAGCAACAACCCAGAAACATACACCCCACATGTGTAACTCACCATGCCCTTGCTCCGTGCTTTTGGAGAGTGCAAGTCAGCAATTATAGCTGTGGAGAGGCTGACGTTCCCTTTGCTTATTCCACCTACGATCCTGGAGAGAAGAAAAATGCCAAAAGTCCTAGAAGCAGCCCATAGTGCGTATGATGTTATCAAACCCATCTGCAGAAGCAAGAAAGGGTTCTTTATAAAGCAGAGCAAAGCTGAAATAATTTCTGCGTATTTCCCAGCTAAACATTTAATGTTTTTGTTTGTTTGTTTTCAACACCTGCTCCAAAGCTCATATAACAGCAATGTCTGTATATATTGATACTGCACTATGTCCTGGACAGTGATATAAAATAAGAGAAACAAATCCATACAAACTTCATATAAATGTGAGATTACTAATAAAATTAGAAGAGCAAGGAAAGTTCAGAGGGAGCTAAATCAGTCCTGGGCACAAAACCACTTTTGTACATCCTGCTCCACTTGTTTCCAACTTTAAGAGAATTCTGATTTCAAGATAAGAATAATTCACAGTTCTAGCCCTTAAATTTCATAATCAATCATAAGCATGCATGCTTATTTAATTCACTCTCCACAAGCCTATAGGATAGAGGGATTTGTATATCATTTGCTGCCAAGTTCCTCCATGTATGTACACACTTGCTCTGCGCTGCTTCTGTAATTAGAACCCTATACCAGCGACAAAGAAAAAGTTTTGGAGAATGTTCATGTTCATAAGAAATAACACTGCTATACAGCACTTCCTAACCAACAATTCCCAGGCTCTGTGAAATAGGTCATGAAGTGATCAGCCCTCATTAGTCACTTGGGGAACTAAAACATACAGGGATTAAGTCTAACATTTGTAAACAGAGCATCTGAAGTCGTATTCCCATACACAGAGGAAAGAGATTCTGGAAAACCCCAGAAACAGATAGTATTTTGGTGCCTTCTATGTACAGTTCTGGATCTGGGAACCTCAGCTTAAGCGCTTGCATTTGGAAGTGTGGCCAAGTGACTTGGCAAGAAGCAGTCAACAACAAACAGACCTAGAACATTCAATTTCCCAATCCTTTGTGCTAACCACAAGACCATAGTGCCTTCAACTGTGTATTGAGATGTCATGACTAAAATTGGTATGAGACACATACGACTGTCATCAAGATGACAGGCCTTCTGCCCAAGCAGTCTGACACAGCACCAGTGAGGGGAGACGAGAAAAACTGTAGGATGGAAAAGATTGAGCCAATCAGACCTAAAAAAGAAAAATTAAAAAAAAATTACATGTATCATTAGACTTGCTGCCTTCACCTTAAATACAAATACAGTCAACCTGTTCCAGACCTATCACTCCATTACATCCTTTAAAAGCATGCAATTAAATGTAGAACAACAGCTATAAACAGCAGCTTTACTTTGAAACTAAGCCACCCTCTAAACACCGATCTTGCATTGTTATTTAACTGAGGTGGCAAATACAGACAGACCAGAGTAACAGGCATAAATCAGATAATTCACTGGTTACTTCACTGGTGAGAGGCATTTGAAACTCACTGGTTATAATGGAACACCGATTCTCCAATGCTTCCCCAGCTGACTACATACATTTTCTGTTCTTAAAGCAGAGATAAAGCAGTCTTTAACAGTCACAATTCTTTTTAGATTTTTTTGATTGTTTGAACCTGATTCTGTCACACTTAATTAGCTTTTCTTTCCTTCTTACCATGGAAAGAAGGACATAAGCACTGCTGTTAGTGAGGCACCCTAAGAGGTAGGAGTGATTCCAACAGACTCCAAGAGTCTTTTGAAATATGCCTCCAGCTTCTGTGATCTTTAATTCCTCTTCTCTCTTGCCATTTCTAGCTTCACACACTTATTAATTTGCACTACACTCTCAACAAGCAGGCAAAAAAATGCCATGCTGTCACAGTTTTTCTCTAAGGGAAAAACTGGGTTATACGTCTCAGATCATTCAGCTACCAAAGCTTTAAAAGGCAGAGGAGGCACCAGAACTCCTGCTCCCATCAACTTTGAGAGAGGCAGAATATTGATACTCTCCTCCTGGGGAGAACAGCTGCTTGTGATAACTCAAAAACCTGTGCAAAAAATCTTATAGATTGGTACACTGGCAGTTTATGTTAATGAGAGACAAGTATTCCTCCTTGTTTTTCTAGTACTGTAAAAACACCCAGACATGACAAACACTTCACAGCCAGGGAGCAGCAAGAGCAGGGCTGTTCCACATGAGGGAAGGAGCCAGGAGCCGAGTGTGACCACAGCACTGGCAGTGCCCCCACTAAGCAGGGCACAGTCCCACACGACCCGGACGGGTTGGGCAGAACAGGGTCTCGCTAGCAGGGTCCATTGACAGTCCCAGACAAGGCAAGGGTTATACAGCAGGTCCATCCAGGGAGTCCAGTCAAGACCAGCAGGAGAGAGATCAGAGAAAGGAGTGGAAACAAGACTATGATGTAGGTCCATTCAGGAGATAAGACACCTGCAATGTAGGTCTGAGGTTCATCTAAGAGACAGGGCCAGAGACAGCCCTGGAGACAAGGCTATCCTTATGACATAGCTCAGGCAAGGCCCAGGCCTGAGCTGAAATACAGCTCCTGAATCACTGGGCAGAAAGTGTGTGGGTGAAGGCTGGTCACTGCAACTAAGTATTGGTGCCCTCAGGGCCTTGACGAGGGCGCGGAAGGTTTCTGCCCTGAAGAGGTCACAGTCTAGACCAAGATGAAAGAGAACAGAATATATCCTGCACTGGGAGAAGCAACAAGATGATCTTGGAAGTATCTTTCCAATCCTATGCTCCTTGTAGCAGATGAAGGCAACGAAGGAATGAAGGCCACAGGAAGACTGCAGTGGCCTCTGATTAACATCACAAGTATAACAAACCTTTCCACTATAACCTTTTAAGGTGCAATCAGACAAGATGGACTGAGACAGAGCTGACTACAACTAAGATAGCTTGTTCATCTTCCCCTGCTTCTGCAGCCTCAGTCAACTCTCCAGTGAGCTAATTCAACTCAATCTGGCAGAAAACTAATCTGGAAAAAAAGAAAAGAACAAAAAAGTTTTCTGCTGGTTTAGCAAATTAGATGGCTCATTAAGAATAGCTGTCATCAAAGCCAGCAGAAGAGATGGAGTCAAATGAGACAGATACCAGGTTGATTCAGCCACCTTGTCTGCACCCTCACTGCCTGTGGCTGCCAGGTAGTTAGTGAACATTCCCACCACTACTCATTACTCTTCTAAATACTTTTCTTCAACACTTCTCTCCTAGAGAGAAAACAGCAAGGGATACCAGCTTCCTTTCTGAGACAAATAGCATCCATTTTATTTGCACGTTCCCAGTTAGATGCTATATTTTCTTCAAAGGGCAGAAGAGTCAGTTGAACACCTCTGGAAGGAGCCCAGAGATTTTTCCTTCCCCTTGAAAACAACTGAGCCAAGTCAAGGTATACGGCACTCCCAGGAGTACAGGACACAGCAGGCAAAAGGACAGGCAACAAGTTCAACACAACTGTGAGCTCCCAGCTTCTTGTTTAAACAGTCTGAGACAGAGAGAAGGAACAAGGAGGAGGCATGCAGTCAGGCCTTAGAGGAGGCAGAAAGCAGTTTCTGAGGGATTAAAGAAAATTGTTTTCTACCATTTAAAGCCAGTAATCTGACTGAAAATGAGAACTGAAACAACAACATACCTGCAAAGACACTGTGGGAAAGAAGAAAATTGTTTATAAACTTTCTAATGTCTGTTAAACCCCCAAAAACTACTTTAAATAGTAAAAATACATTCACACTTACATTCTAATAAAGTTTTGAGTTGTTTTTTTTAGTTCAAAAGCCTTTTGCTTATCTTGGGGGAGGCCTCAGCCTCCACTAAAAGGAGTAGGTCTAGACATCTCCAATTAAAATTAACCCAGACACCCTCTCACATCTTCATACTCTGAAATCCCAGTTCCCTCACAACACTCTAGATCACAAGGAGCCAAAAGACGACCTGATGTGTAACATGACATATATGCTGCTGGATTTCCTGCACTACTCCTGGTGGAGCTCACCCACACCAGAGCGTCCTAGTGACAGCAAATGTTTCTGGACCCTGAAGTAAGCAGTTCTCCTGCTTTTAATAGGACTAATGAGATTTAGAAACAGTGCTGCACTATAGCTGCCCAGGGCAGAGGTGAGACTTGAACTCACAAGCTTCTAACTCCACTGTTTCCTACTGATTGATTTCCAATCACATGCGGATCAGTTGTTAAGGGAGAGTAATTTCTGTGACTGTGCAGGGTGTAGCACAGCAGGCTCCTGACACTCAGCTGGCAGTCTGACAATAAGGAACAGCAGGCCTGTATTTCTGTAGCAATCTGTAGAACAAATTGGGCAAGATCATAGGATAATTCAGGTTAAAAGGGACCTCTGGAGGTCACCTACTCCAACCACCTGTTCATAGGGTCAGCTATGAGGTCAGACCAGATTGTTCAGGGTTTCATCCAGTAAGGGTTTGACAGCCTCTAAGGATGGAGACTACAAAACCTCTCTGGGCAACCTGTTCCATGGGCCATCCTCACTGTGAAAAAGTTCTTCCTCATGTCCAGCCTGAACTTCCCTTGCTTCTACTTATGCCTGTTGCCTCTCCTTCTCCCACCATGCAACACAGTGAAATGCCTCACTGTCTTCTTGATAACCTCCCCATAAGTACTGGAAGGGTGCTAATTGCTCCAGGCTGAACAAGCCCAGGCTCCCCAGACCCTCTGTCTTCCTGGCTCTCTGCTGAACTCATTGCAGTTTTGTCCTGGTTTCAGCTGCGATAGAGTTAACTGTCTTTTTAGTAGCTGGTATAGTGCTATGTTTTTGAGTTACGTATGAGAAGAATGTTGATAACACACTGATGTTTTCAGTTGTTGCTAACTAATGTTTAGTCTAAAGTCAAGGATTTTTCAGCTTCTGATGCCCAGCCAGCAAGAAAGCTGGAGGGACACAAGAAGTTGGAAGTGGACACAGCCAGGGCAGCTGACCCAAACTGGCCAAAGGAATATTCCATACCATATGATGTCATGCCCAGTACATAAACTGGTGGGAGTGGGGCCGGGGGGGATCACCGCCTGGGGACTAACTGGGCATTGGTAAGCGAGTGGTGAGCAATTGCACTGTGCATCACTTTTATCTTCCAATCCTTTAGTATTGCTATTGTCATTTTATTAGTGTTATCATTATCATTATTAGTTTCTTCTTTTCTGTTCTATTAAACCGTTCTTATCTCAACCCAGAAGTTTTACTTCTTTTCCCAATTCTCTCCCCCATCCCACTGGGTGGGAGGGAAGTGAGCGAGCAGCTGCGTGGTGCTTGGTTGCTGGCTGGGGTTAAACCACAACAAGTTTATGGATGCCTTTCTTGTACTGGGGGGCCAAAACTGGATACAATGCTCTAGATGTGGTCTAACACGTGCTAAGTAGAGGGGGACAATCGCTTCCCTCAATCTACTGGCTCTGCTTCTGTTCATACAGCCAGGTGCTATTGGTGCTTTTGCTGCCTGGGCTGGTTCCTCCTCAGCTTGCTGCTCACCAGGACCCCCAGGGCCTTTACAGCAGAGCTGCTCCTCACCAGTCAGTGCCCAGTCTGTACCACTGCAATGGACTACTCCTTCCCAGGGGCAGGACTTCACATTTGTCCTTACTGAATTTCATAAGGCTCCTGCGGGCCCATTCCTCCTGCCTGTCTAGGTGTCTCCAAATGACAGAGATGGGGCTGTCCAACTCTTCATTGCTATCAGTGTGATGAAAACAAAATCACTTATAGCCTACTGTGTTATTTAAATCTAAATCTAATAACAGGCAAGTATGCTTTTTGTATTTCTTGCCATTTTCATCATCATTCCTCACATCAACAGTGCAAATAACTTGAAAACACACTTTGGTTTTTTTTGTGGTCTGTTAGCTTGTTTCTTTAATTTCCATACCTCCAAACAAGACACTGTTGTACTTCCGCTCCGGAGGCATCCCAACCATCACCGCAAACCAGTCCACACCACGTTGCAATGACAAATAGAATCCATCCTGCAAAACAGATAGTTGGGAAATAGAAGCAGGAAGACAGTCGCTCTGTTTCATTTTCAAAGACAGCATCAGAGCTTAGTTAGATGATTCCTTCCCTCCTCCTCCCCCCAGGGAAAACCTCTTTGCTGATCAGTTGTCACAGGCTAAAAGTAGCTTAAATTGTAAATGCTAACAGGCAGGAGATAATTGGGTATATGTGTTTGGGTGGAGGAATATCTGGATTTGAACTTTTTAAACCATCAGGTCTGCTACTTGCTAAAACTTGAACTAAGTAAAAGTGGAATGTCCTGAATCTTTCAATTAATAAAGCAACATGAGACATACTCTGTCCCTCTGCACATATTAACCATTTAGAATGGGAGAACCAGGGATTTGTAAGTCCAGAAAAAAGAGGTGGTGTGAAAAAGAATGGTTCCTGAAAAGAGGAGGAGGACTTGAAAAGAAGAAGGGGACCCTGAAAAGAAAGTGAAGATCTTGGCTATAGCAAATACACTGGAAGTGGGGGAAGATCCTGGAGATCAGAGCCCATGGTTCCAGTTAGAGATAAGGATGTAAGAAAGACAAAGCCTATAGCTGCAGTTGGAGTGGGGTAGGAAAGCGACTATGAGATAGAGGTGTGGGCTGCAAAAATAATTCTCCCCTGACATCTTCATCTTGTCCAGTAACACTTGAGAATGCGTTCCCAGAGCAGCAGCCAGCTCCCTAAGAATGGAAGTTGAGACCTAGTGAATGTGATGCTGGGGATGGGAGGAAGCAAGTGTGTGAAATACTCAAGCAGGGTAAAAGGTCTCATCTCTTTGGTTCTTAGATAAAACCCAGGATGCAGATCCATTGTGGATTGTCGTTTACTCTGTCTCACCAGTGACAGCAGTGTAAGTTAGAAATGCACTGGTAATTACAAGGACTGGCCCCTAAGAAATACCTGAATTTTCCCCAAAACATGTCTCTCATTTTAATGAAAAAGCAAGAGGGAAGAGTCTTATGCAGGTTCACAAACAAATTCAGTCCATACACCATTTAAATGTGCTGCCTATAGCTATTTGGTTTGCCCCAAGGCAGGGGATTTTCCTTCCATCCTTCCCTAAAGATCTCATACCTAAGATTTTCAGCAGGCTGACTTTCTCTGTTACTTACCTCAGTCTGGCTGTAATAATCAAGGATGGAAGGAAACAGTGGCAAGATGAGAGCGAATCCCAACAAGTCAATGAAGAGTGCCAGGAAGACAATTGTAATAACACGACTACAGTTCTGTTCTTGCTTGTCATTTATGGAGCTGCTGCTGCTTTCTCTCTCTCGCAGGGCCATGTTCCCAGGTGCTCTGCTTCTAGAAAATTACATTTATATCTGGTCAACAGGAAGCATTTTGCAGGCCTTTCATAACAGTATCTTGCTGATTCATTCTCACTTTCTACAGACTTCACACACAAAAAAAAGCTACCTGATTTTCAAGGGAACAGGAATCGCAACTCTCTAGTCTTGGTTATTAGCTCAGCATCAAGTTTGCTGGCATCAAAAACAGACTACAATGGCAATAAGATAACTTTATTATAGGAACATCCCAAATAAAACACAGAACTAAGGAGCATTTAAAGTTTGTTAACATGTGAGCAATGCTATACAACTTTCCCAAATGTTTTCAACTCAGCATTACAGTAAAATAGATAAGAAAGGGCATTCTTGTTCTGAATATCCACATTCAAGTAACTAATAGATTATTTATGCCTTCAGTGTATACTAGAAATTACTAAAGCAATAACAATTTAAAAAAAAAAAAAAAGGTAGACTTCCTAAATATTGCAGTAATGCTGTCTTCAAGATAAATCCTGGAGAACAACAGCAACTCAAGAAACAGCACAACAAAATTTTGAAACTTGAAATTTTTTTTTTTTCTTTCTCTGGATGACTGCCATTGATAGGTTATATGAGTTTGCATCAAATGATTAAAGAGCGTTTTAGTTTGTCAGAAATATCAGAACTATCAAATTTCTTTGATAATCCCCCAAAACTGTCTTAAAGACCTAAACAAGGATGCAGACCATACCCTGATCAGTATTTAACAAATAAAGAAATCAGTCTGTATTCTGAAAAAAACTCAGTTTCAACAGATACCAAAATCAAGGAGTAATACACAAACCATGAAACTGCAAACTTCGGATTTCTAAAACATTACACTGTATCTCAGTCATAAAACAATCAAATTTGCAGTCCCTTCCACTGAAAAAAAATCCCTAAACATTTGTTGCACTAAAAGAGTAAAAAAGGAGACAGAATTTCATCCAACAAAGTCAATCAATACCAAAATATCCATTGACATTGATAAGCCAGGATTGAAAACACTGAGCAATTCTTCATACAAATTCTATTCCAAACAAGACATACTGTATTACATACACAAGGCCCTTGTGCATATAACATCATATTACACCAAATGAAGATCATAACTTTGTTCTGCTCAGCAATAAATATTATCGTGACATTTCTTTACGTGTGGATTCAGTTTACTAGCACTGAAGCATTATTAAAGGTCAAACGCCATGAACCAAACATGGAAAGGGGCCACCTGCAATCCACTTCCTAAACTCTTGGCATAACACTCTTAAATCTGCTAGTAAATAGAGCAGTTTGGTTATGTTCAGGATCCTTTTATTTAAAATGGTAAGTCACCACCACCACAAATATTTAGCGTTATGTGTTTACCCAAATGATATAAGAGCATCTGGAGCCAAAACAACCATTCCTTTAGACAAATCGCCCTGGCCCTGGCCCTAGATCCATCCAGCCAACAATTGAGGGATGGGTTCATTCTGGCAGATTCTGCCTTGTTTTTCCTGACAACTTGTTTATTCATCCACTGAATTGTATGATCAAGCTGAACTTTATTCCAGGGTTCTTTACACAGGGTAACATCCTTTACACCTCACCCTCACAGCCATTTCAGCTAGCGTGCGGCTTGAACCTACGGATGCTAGCACTGACCTTTCATTCAGCTCCAGTTTCGGCTACGTGGTTGCAATTTCCCTTACGCAACGTCCCAAGGTACGACACGTTTCTGCCTTTGTGCTCCACCAGTTTTGTTGTTCAAACCTCTCCGTACTTTTTGCTAGGCAGGAAACCACCAAACATTTTACAGGCCCTGGCATCCCGTCAGCAAAAACAAAACACTTCACCTCTACCATGACATTTGATTTCTGTGAGACACGTCTGAAGAGGGGGCAGGATTTTCAGCTTAGGGAAGTTGCTTCGCTGGACACCCGTGTCCCTGCAGTGGCTCTCCCTCTGCTCGTCCCCTCAGGACTCCCCGTCTGCGCCTCATCGCTTCTGCCTTCCCCCCGGCCGGCAGGGCCGCCGTTCCCCGCCGCGCCTCTCAGGAAGGGATCGGCCGCGAAGCTGGCCCTGCCCTAACGCACGGACGGAGATTTCTCATCTGCCAGCAGGAAGAATTTCATCCTTCTGGTGTTTTCCTACCACCCCTTCCCCTCTCCGAAGTCTCCTAGGCCCGGCTTTACCTGCTACACCTCGGGAAGGGGCTCCTCTGGCTCCTTAACAAAGTCCTGAGTCAGGTCAAGAGCAGGAGTTTCAATCGGGGGGGACGGGACGGGGGGACACCGGCAACTCCCCAGAGCGGCCAAAGCCCCGGGGACACGAAAGGGACTGCCCTGGAGAGGGAGAGGTGGTGTCCGCGGCGAGGACTCGCCGTGTCCGTCCGTCCCCCCCTCCGCCCCCAGCAAGGCACCCTCCGCCGCCGCCTGGGCTGAGCCCCCAGGGACCCGCAGCCCCACCGAGGCCAGCCGCGCCCGGCCCAGCCCCGCTCCTCCGGCCGGCCGGCCGCCCTTCCCACGCCGCCGGCAGAGCCTGCCCCGCTCCGGGCCACCTACCGCTCCTCAGGGGGGCTGGGCCCGCAGG